TATNTNTTTTTTTTTTTATGCTTTGATAGCTTAATAACAATTTGATAAAGATAGAATTTATACAATTAATTCCTATAAAATTTAATTTTTGATTTTAACGAATTATTTTATTGTTATCATTTCTTAATTATTTAAATAATAATTTGATAAACTAAAATTGTTTAATAATAAAAACGAAAAACAAAATTGTTATGTAAAAAAGGAATTTTTTTATTAACTTTACTTTTATTATTTAGATAATCATAACATTTATCAACTTCGTATCATTTTGGCACCACCAAAATCATATTTAGCTTGGACACCATTATCTGAACATGCTGAAAAAGTTATCAAATTCAAGTTAGCTAATTTTTTCTTTTATTTTATATTTCAATTCCTACTAGTGCTATTATTGTTACTGTTGTTGTAGAATTAATTTAAAATTTTAATACAATTCTAGATTATCGTATAAAAAGAGTGCTGGTGATCAGTGGACACGTATCATCGAAACACCCCAATATTTCAAATGTCCAGAAGGAATTGCTGATCCGGAAGATTTTTGCTATGATTTATCAAAATTATCATTTGGTATACAATATACTGCTGATGTAAGTTATTCAAATTTTTATACCAAACAAAGAGAGAAGAAGAAGTACGGTAGTATGAGTACTGTAAGTACTGTAGTTTTGAAGATGATTCTTTTATCTCATTCATAATTTACAATAATTTTAGTTAATATATGAATTAGAAGATGGTGAATGGACAACACATGGTAGCCCATTATTCTTCATCCTTGTTGAAGCTGGTATTATTTAAATTTCCGTGTCTAATTAAACTTAAATCTATCATTATCCGCCATTATTCTATTATATGTTACCCATGCAAGTTTATTTCTGAAAAAAAAAAAAGAAAAAAAAAGCATGCATGCTCAATGTTTCTGCTATTTTTCACTTTCTCTTCATGAATAAGAAATATTTTTTCTTTCTTTCTCTTCTTTTCTTTTTTTTTCTTTTTGTCAACAAAAGCATGCTAATGATAAGTTTGCAGTCGTTGAAATTTGTCCGTCCCCTTGGTGCTTTTTTTTTTTTTCCAAAATCTTTTATAGATAATTTTATCAATGAATGCTTTAAAAATTCTTCAATCATAAATGAAAGAAAAAAAAAAGAAAAAAAAAAATGCTTCAAATTTTATTTGCATGTTTTGTTGTGTTCTGTGAATGTCCATTTTCGATGATGTCCATTTCAGGGGAACCATCTATACCATCATCACCGCACAATCTTCAAATCAATCCTCATGATGCATCCAGCATTGAGCTTCATTGGTTACCACCCTTAAACACGAAACATATTCCTTTTTATCAGGCACCATTTTCTCTTCTTCTTCTTCTTCTTCTTCTTCCTCTTCTTCTTTTATTTTTCAAATTTGCACAAGTACTATTTTGCATGTTATATGTTTTCTCTGCATAGTTTTTTTTTCCTTTTTTGACATTAATTTAGTTCATTTGGGACATTTTTTTATTTTAGCTTTTGTCTAAAAAATTTTTTATCATTTCATAAAATTGAAATGATAATTTGAAAGTGAAGCAGTATTTCTGGGGATTTTTGCATAAAACAAACAAAAAAAAAGGAAAAAAAAGTAAATCTAAAATTAGTTCTATTTGATTAATTAGTCTTGGTTCAATTTAGATTGAAATAGAAGATCTGCATACAAGGAAAATACAAACTGAAAAGGTACCAGGGTCATTCTTCTCCTCTATCCTTAGACATTTGTCACCAAATTCCATCTACAATATTTCCGTACGTGCTGGAACTGATTTTGGTGAACTGGGTACACCTATATTCAAAGTTGTTTCTCTACAGAATCCCGAGCTATCCGGTTATGGGAGGGGATTGAAAGAACCAGTAGAGCAGCAAGAAAGAATGGAAACGAAAGGGGAAAGTGAAAGGATTAAATTGAAAAGTGAATTTGAGAGAGAACAAATAGAGCAGGAACGTTGGCGGAATCGGATAAAAGAATGTGAACGTAAAAGATTGCAAATGGAATGTGATAGGTTAAATAGGGAACGTGAACGTAACCGGATTGCGTATAAACATGAACGTGATCGTGAACATCTAAAATATGACCATGCCAATCGAGCAGCTGAGCAGCAGCAGTACTATGAACATCAACGACAGCAATGGGAGAAGGAACGTGAACAACGTGAACGTCATCATCGATTGATCCAGCAACATCGACAACAACAGGAAGAGCAACAACGACTAGAACAGGAACGTATCCAACAACAACAACTGGATCAAGTTCGTGTGTTACCGGGACGGAATGATAAACGAGGTGAGAGGACGTAACAAACGAACTATGTTGACACGTGTGATTTGCTAATACGGTTAACAAGCATAGAGTGACTCATCTGTTTTTTATCCGGCTTACATTTTCAGCGACTTATCCGGTTTACATTCATGAACTTCCAGTCCTACTTTTTTTACAACTTATGCGCAAAGTAGAAGACGTACTTTCTTCTAGAAACTTCGAATGAATTGATATGATCAAAGTATGATACTAAATATTTGCTTGCTTATTGCATCACGCTTAGCATTTTTCTCTATCGCTGCATGCTTATTTGCACACTTTTGCAAGTTTTTGCACAAGCACGTTTTTCAACTTAAGAGTTTTTTTTTATCACAAATTCTGCTATCATTTTAGATTAATTTAGATGAAAAAAAAGAATCATTTAATTTCATTTTTCAAATAACCCAGTGAATAAATGAAAATGATTATTTAGGTGGTATGCCAAAACCACTTCTTGGTATTGATAAACCACGTGTCGAGCAACGTGGATCACGTATTCTGCTATACTGGACTATTGGCGGTGATACGTCAAATGTGCTAGCCTATCAAGTATGTTGTAATTTATTAGGAAAAATCGTTGTAATCGTAGTAAGTTTATTGTGCAATAGATGATGATGCAACAAATGATATGACAGACAATCAGGATTTGTTGTTAGCTTATCGAGATAGCATCTTGTCTCGATGGTCAATTAGCTTTAATACAATGTTGACAAAGTTTCAGCTAATAAATTGTTTTTTTTCTTGAATTTTCAGATCGACCTTCGTTCAGATTCAGATAGTGAATGGCGACATGTTAATGGTTATCTTTCTCATTCACCATCTGAAATTCACTTCCGACAGGAGCTAACTAATCTAGAAATCAATAAACATTATTATGTTAAAGTATCAGCTATTGATCAATCACGACGTATTCTTGCTACCTCAGAAGCGACTAGCTTTACTGTTCACTGTCAGGGTATGTTTTTCATGCATTACATTTGCATCATGATATCACGGGAAGACATTCTGCAATATCCCGAATGCAAATTTTGCTTTAGAATCCTCCACTTAATTGATTTGAAGTATGATGTCTTTCATCGGTTTCGAGAAGCTCACTAATTGCAACTTCGTTTTATCTCTTCTACAGTTAATTATTTGAAATTTCAGTTTAATATTTTAAGCTTTCAATTTTGACGTGACTTTATCAGTCATTGCCACTTCCGTATATCAAGTATTATTGTTTTAGCACCCAGTAATTCACCTCAGGATTTACGACTGGAAAGTGTACCCGAAGGAATTCGCCTCACCTGGGATTGGTCTGATCAGGAAGATCGTGAATGTGAACCATATTTTCTAATAACAGGATATCAAAGCGGAATACCGTTTTCGGAACGAGTGGCAGGTGGGCAACGTCAATTCACTTTCCAGAATGCGGTCGCTGGCGAATGGCATGTGGAAATGCGTGCAGGGAATCGTGCTGGGACTGGACCTAGTAGCACACCTGTAAATCTACAAAGTACTTCTAAAGGTATTATTCTAATTTAAATTGATTCCATGTGGACTTAAAAGTTATTAACTTTCAGGATAGTAGGATAGATCATCTTGTAATGAAAGGATTAGGTTATAAGTTATAAGATGATTTAAAAGCCGAAAAATACTTCTAATAAATTAATTAAACATTAAAAACTTGCTACACTTCAGATTTCTATTTTATTTACATTTATATTTACATTTACATATATTTTAATTGTCATAATTTAGTGTCACATGCTTTTTGTGAACTAAAAAATTGATAAATTTTGGTTTTTTATCAGCTATCAATTCTTTATCTTTGATATTTTGGTCACTCATTGATAGTCTTTTAATAGGTTATTTTTGCATTTTATTACGAGAGCTGTAAGAGTTTAATCGAAAGGGGTTTATGCAAACAAAGGGAAAACAGTAGCTATTGTGAAATTAGTTAGAGGAATAAGTTAGGCAAAAGATAGGTAGATAAGTGTTATTGGACGAAGTGCTTGTCATGTTCGGAGGTCAATGTGAATTTATAGTTATAAAAAGTAAATATTGTTGAAAAATTTGAAGTCACAAATTAAATCAATTAATTTAAGTTACTTTTCCAGCTATTTCCATATATATATATCTGATCTCATTCTATCTACCCTACATTGTTCCTATCTATCCTGAAAAGAAATGATATCATCTAGTGATTTAGCACTTGTTATCATCAGGTCATATGTCCCCCATTTCCAGTATCCAAAGCTCTTCGTGTTCTACGTAGCATCTGTGATCCACGTATAGACTTCTGGTGTCGTTCACCGGATGAAAATTACGCTGTTGCTATATCTCGTCATCTTAATGAAGGTTTGATTACGTGTGCTGTGTCGTGTGACCTTCAATGTTATCCTCTGTTTGAATCAAATAACTCTTTGTCCTAAGTAGTCGCCTGTTTTTTTTCTTTTTTTTTTTTTACTATAATGTCACTTACTTAGATTTCTTTTATTTTTAAATTTATACAAAAATTTTTATTTATTTTCGCATAACTCCGAACAGTATTGGCTAAGTATTGGCTTGGCTGCATTAATTAGTGCTCATCCTCAAGCTTGAACTTTTTTTTTTTGACTTTAACTAATTAGCTACTTATGATAAGACATCCGTAGTGTCAAATATCACCTGATGATAAGTAATGCAATATGAGTTGTATGACAACATTTAGATATATATTCAAATATATCCTATAATTGGGAAATTCCTATATCCATGCATCTGTATGGCTCGGGAGAGCCATTGGTTGTAGAATGCAAACAGTAAACCTGATAGTCAAAATTTTCCAATTCCTATGGTTTCAATTCCTGTTTTAAAATTTTCTTCCAAATTTTATTCAAATAAATGTAATGAGACGATAATCCTATATGGTTTGAAAATTAGTACTTCAAAGTTACTTAAAGTTACTGTCATTCACAGAATATTCTCATGGAATTTAATTCCATTAAAAAAATTTAATTCACAAAAAATTTATTTCCATTAAAAGAAATTAAATTGATGAATATCTCTGTTCTGGAATTTCACCACAATCATGTTCCATTTTAATATTTTCCCATGGGAATAAGCATGATATTATGGCTAAAGGTAACTTATAATATAAGCTAATCATAGCATGATGTGGTATGTGATATGGTATTGATTTATGTGACATTAGTAATATTGATGCTATGCATGCCAATTATTTTGAAATTTTTGCGAACTATAAAAAAGTTAATGGTTTGCAAATTTCAGAACTTATCTCAAATCTACGCGTATTCACACGTGACGGTGATTTATCAGTTGAATGGAATAGTGGAGGTAGTAGTCATGGTGTTTTCGGATATCGTGTACAGTATCGAACTGATAGTACTGGTTGGACTTCTTATGGGTGATTTTTTTTTTTGCATGATTTAATGCAATAGGTATATTTGCAAAAAAAAGAAAGAATTAAATTATGTTGTTTACTTCTATATCATTCATAAAAAAGGGAACTAAAAATTTTAAGATTCAATTTTAATCTTTCTAATTTAAATTAATACTTATTTTTTGAAAAAATTCTTCGTTACTTAAGAGCATTTTAAATTTTCAAGATGTTTTTTTTTAAATTTTTAAGAATTTTTAAGATAAATTTTTAAGATTTAAGATCATTCTTTTTCAGTCAAATTGTACCGTATGTGGGTGATAATAAACGTTATGTACAGCAGTTAACAAGTTTACAACAAGGTAATATGTATCATATACAAATTCAAGTACTTGATCGGAATTCATATGTTATGTATACCAGTCCGGAAGTATCGGCAAGAACCGTTTGTTCCGGTTTGTTTTTAAAACTTTTTTCCTGTGTAAATTCTGGTAGATTCTTTACTGTTATGTAGAAATTTTCATTTTAAGAATAACTTATTAAACTCTAATCACTTTGTTTTATTCTAAAAATGGCTTACTAAATTATATCCACTTCATTTTTACTTAAGTTATATAATTTCCGAAATCTATCACTAATATTGTTTTAAGCAAAAATTTTTTGGTCCTTAAACTTCAAATACAATAATTCCATAATTTAGCACCAACTCATCCTCCATCACATTTGCAAGTACAAGCTGCTGATCCACGCCATATCCGGGTAAGTTGGGCACAACCACCACAAAGTACCTGGCAGTGCAATGACATACAAGTGGAACTTGAGGTAACGGAACCGCAACGTATTCCACCAGTACTTCTAAGCGGATATCAAACTTCTCATATATTTGATTCGGAAGCAAATCAGCAATGGTCTGTTCGAATCCGTACAAAGAATTCAGCTGGTGCATCAGCATGGTCGCAAATTGCTTCTGTTCGAACACCACCTATCGGTGAATTAATCATCGGACCATCAGTAAGCTATCGACACGGGATTCCGGTGCTTACATGGACAAGTAAAGAACGAGTAGATGATCTCATCCAAAATTATCAGATTGAATATCGATCTTCGGCCGATACAGCTTGGCAAAGACTCCGAATGCAAGTATGATAAGTGTTTATATCTTTGAAAATTTCCATTTCTTAATTATTAATTTTATGCTTCAAATTTTGAGTTCATAATGAAGCTTTGACATGAATGTGCCATTATATTCAGGTGCCATACACAGGCTGGCAGCGACCTTACAGTATCGATCTTAGTAATTTACCTGCTGGTCACAATTATCAGATTCGAATTCATGCGGTCGATGCTAACAATGGTATTGCTTACACGTCATCAGCAGTTAATGTTCAAACACAGATCAAATGTTCGGTACCACGTCGTGCACCATTCGATGTACAAGCTACCTCACTTGGACCCACACAAATCCGTGTATCCTGGAAGGTTAATTTTGGAATCTGTAGTAAATTTTAAATGAATCTGAACAGTTGAGTCGATTTTAAAACTATATCAAAAGCGTAATTTGTTAGGAAATATCCGATATTGAAATGGTACCAATATTGCGGTAGAAATGAGTTATATTTCAGGCATTGCATGAATCAGAATGGAATTGTAATCGTTTGTGGTACGTCGTAAAATACAGCACTCCACATAATCAAGGCTTTAAAAACTTAACACGTGGTGAAAATCATGTAATTTTTGATTCGGAACCATATACACGATGGACTTTTGAGGTACAAGCTGCTAATCCAGCGGGTGAAACGCAGTGGTCACGTCCAGTTACTGTACAAACCGAAGGAACAGGTATGTAACCTTGTGTAAGCAGAAATTATATAAGTTTTGTAAGCTTAAACTCCTCAATTTCCAAAAAAATTTCAAGCTTAAATTCTTAAACAAAGCTGGAAAAGCTGTTTATAAGTTTAAGTTACTTTTCCCCTCCAAATTTAGCAAATTTGTGGAGCTCTATTTTCTTATTTTAAGACTAATATTTTCAAACTATTGTAACTTATAAACTATAGCACTTGCATTCTGATTTTTTTTTTATAGCACCTGGGCCGGTTTCTGATTTACGGATTTATCCACAATCATCGGATACACTTCAGCTTTCCTGGAGGCAACCGCAAAATCCTTATGGGCAAATTACAGGTTACGAAGTGACTTATCAACTGTTGTCAAAGTAAGTTATCTTGATTATTATTTTCAGAAGATTTGAAAATCTATAAATATTCACTCATGATTTAAAATCCATATTTAGCCAGCAGATCTCTGATCTACGAATCCATTTCAACTATTTCGAATAAATTTGTTGAATGAATGAGAGTTATTTCAGAGGTATGTGCGATCAAGTGACAGAAAAACCTATAACAGCGACAAGTGACAAGCCATCATTTACCCTTCGAGGCCTACTGCCACATTCGAAATATCGTATTTCTGTTGCTGCAAAAACGAATATTGCTGGTAAAACTTCTCATTTCTCATTTTGAATCTTGATATATATAGTCATCAATTTTTTGAAATTTGCTTGAATAATTGAACAGATTGTTTTACGACTTGATATGATATTTTTGTTATATGACATTCGATTTGTTATCTTCTAGTACCTGTTCTGGTCTCTCTAACGACATTTTAAATGTCTTAGTGGTAATCATTTTCAGTTTCATGCAAACGATTCCTTCTGCAAAAAAAAAAAGAAAAAAAGGAGAAGAGTTGATCAGATGAAAAAACATTTATCAATCCGAATGTTGTATGAAATTTTGAATCAAGAATAACATTTTAGGTGAACGTGTAAGTCAGGAAGTGCAAACTGAAGAAGCTGCACCAAGTGGTGCTCCAGTTTATATTCGTGTTACAAATGTACTACCTACTGAAGTAGCCGTGGTCTGGCAAGCACCTGCCTGCTTGCAAACAAATGGTGAAATAACAGAATATGAATTCGAAGCAGTACCTTTGGAACGGCATGATTATGGAATTGATGATACAATTAAACAGGTTGTCAGAGGTACTAGAACCAAAATCACTGGTCTTTCCCCGTATACAAAGTATTCGGTGCGGATACGAGCATTTACAAGAAAAGGACCAGGACCATGGTCGGAACCGGTTCAATTTCAAACTGCTGCTGCACCTGAAGTACGTTTACTATAGTAGATTGTACTTAATTGATGAACTAGTAAATCGAGAATATTTTCGATGATGAAATCAATTTCGTGTTTTTTTTAAGATTCCAGCTCCACCGATGGTTCGAATTCTAAGTACTGGAACGGATAAGGCAGATTTGGTTTGGCAAGAACCTTATCCATCGTCCGGTTTAATCGACAAATACAAATGTAGGTATGCAATAGCGGGCACCAAACAATACCAGGAGCGCCAATTTCCCTCATATAATCCATGTGGTGAGGAAGTCATTCGTATGCAGCAACTATCACCACTATCACCATCACCAGCCGGGACAAAACTTCATTGTGGCAGAATTGATGGCTTAGAGCCCGAGAAGCAATATACATTTATGGTTTGAATTTTGAAATATTTAAATTTTTCTAAAAAAATCGCTGGTCATAGATGGCTTTTTTTTGACATTTCGATCGTTTTACTAAGCATGAAATTGCATATTAACAATGATTATGTTACAGGTGTCAGCTGGTGATCGGAGTGGTACCTGGTCTCCATGGAGCGAACCTCAAGTTGGTCACATTAGTGAAGGTCCTGTTCAGGTTATTTCACTAAACAAGTTAGGTGGAGGAGCAAATAGGATCTTAATTGGATGGAATGTGCGCCCCACTGATGCAGCCCGTGTTGTCAGTTATCGAATTCATGTGACACCTGTGCTGCAACGTGGTGCTAAACCTATATCATTTACGGTAGATCGATCTACACTGCAATACAATATCGATAATTTGTCACCTAACACGCGTTACAATATAACCGTGGATGCTACTACCGATGGTATTCATTATCATCCAGGTACGGCAATCGAAGTACGTACCGATTCAGCACCATCGAGTGGTTCAATGGTTGCTCCACGAGTGATTGAGGAGCAAGCAACCTCAGTAACTTTGGAATGGAATGCACCAGATGGTGATGTAAGCGGATTCGTGATCGAATATTGTCTTGGTGATGGAGTGTGGCAGCAGTATGGTCGGCGAATTCCGGCATATCCTGGACGTCGTGTTTACACTGCTCAAGTTGATCAGGTTAATATCTGGTTTTTGTACATTTTCATTAATTCCCAGTACTTTACCGACAGCTATACCAAGTGTACATGATATGGTGATAATGGAGCTATTATCAGTATCATAAAACTACCGCTGTAAAGTATTAGTTACTTTTACATTTTTCAAACTAGAATCTGAAAGTATTAGGGAATTTAAGAAATATTATATGGAGATATAAATTAGATGAGAACAAATAAGCATTAAAAATTCTCTTGGATTTTACAATTTTTCTGTTTTAGCTTCCAACAAACAGCGTAGTGGATCTTCGGGTACGCGTTGTATCAGCGCAAAATGAAAAATCTGCTCCAAGCCCAGAAGTTCGGGCTCGTACCCGATGTTCCGCACCACCGGCACCACCACAGGCTATTCGGTTGGACGCCCCGTCCACCAATGAAATTCGAGTTTCGTGGGCTCAACCAGCCAAAGATACATGGCAATGTGATCAGCTAAACTATGATCTTGCTTATCGGGCAGGGGGGCAAGCAGAGCGAGTTGTGTCAGTACCGGGAACTCAAACCGATTACACTTTTCCTTCGGAAGCCAATACTCGCTGGGCTGTAAAGCTAAGATGCACCAATCAGGTAGGATCAAGTCCATGGAGCTCCGAACAGGTAATAACTACTCGGCAAGGAATTCCGGGTCCAGTTCGAGATTTGCGTTTGCGTGCTAAAAGTCCTAACGAAGTACATGTACAGTGGCTTGCACCATTGGTACAGCGTGGTTCCATTGTTGGTTATGATATTAGCTATCGGTTAAAACATCGATTAGCTTGCCCGGACGAAGAACCACGTGATGTCAGTCGTGATTTTGTAACTGTCTACAATCATAAAGATTTGGAATATACATTAACTGGATTATTACCTTTTTCTCTGTACGAAGTACGAGTACGTGCACGTACCACGGAATTAGGACCCGAGGAATCGAAAGAAATTGCAACAGAGCAGCAACCTCCGAGTGCACCACCGTTGAATTTACAACTTAGCTATGCTTTAGAACGTTCGATCAGTTTCCAATGGGAACAAGTAGAATGTTCACAACGTCATGGACATATCGTAAACTATGAGTACGAGATACAAGGACAAGATGATTGGGCGAAGTTGGAGCGTCAGATTGCGAATACTACCGATACAAAGATCAATATTGAAGGTTTAACACCATTCACAAAGTATATAATGCGTGTGAAAGCTTACAACAGCATTGGTGGTGGTCCAAATACGGAGAATCTGGATGCAATGACTGCTAAAGCGGATGCACCACTACCTCCACAAGATCTAGTAGTCGCTCAAGAAGGTACTGATTATTTCATGATTTCCTGGCTACCACCCTATCCACCATATGGACCGCATGATAAGTATAAGATTCGATATCAAGTATTGAATGAAAGCCGTTGGATGGAAATTGAGAAAGATAGCAAGGATCAATTATTGAAATGTCCAGCTGAAAGTCCTCGGCATTGTTTCAATGTTACAAATTTAGAAAGTGGGCGACAATTTAGAGTTCAGGTTGCAGCTCATATAATTGGTGGTTCTTATGGTCCTTGGAGTACGGTAACTATTGCAAATACTTTACAAACTCTGCCTGATGCGCCACGTGCTATTGAATTGATCGAGAAAACTGACCATTCACTTCACATTCGTTGGATTCCACCACCGGATCCTTTGGGACAAATAACGCAGTACAAAGTGGGAATTGTTTCGCTGGATGATCCACACGATCAATTGAAAACTTTTCTCATAGATCATCCAACATTGCAACATCTTTTGAATAACCTGCATCCTGAAACTTCCTATAACATCAGTATTGCGGCTGGCACGAAACGTGGTTTTGGTCCTCTTTCTTGGACACGTTATTCCACGGATCCGTTCAAGGTACCACCGGTAGCAAATGCACCACAAGTTACGGCAGATGGTGCTGATGCATTGAATGTTCAATGGAGTGGTATTTTGGATACAAAAAATCAAGTTCGTGGATACATCATCGAATTTCGTTCCAGCGATAATCCGACATTTACGGAATACGATGGAATCATTGAACATGACATGAGTCGACGTAATTATCAACAACGTTTATCCCTACTAGATGCTGATACTCTGTATTTCGTTCGTATTAAAGTTGTGGATCAAAAGCAACGTGTTAGTGAACCAAGTCCGGAAGGAAGTGCACGGACCGGTTGTGCACGTAAGTTTTTTTTTTTTTTGCACCACTTAAAATATATTTCAAAATTTTGCGATAGAATGCAGCAGATAAAGTATCACTGTTGTTTTATTTTTATCCTACTGCTTCTCTGGTTTAAAACCCTGTCTAATTTCAAAAATAATATCCCTAAATTTAGTTTCGATTAAATCGGCTTTTCGTTTTCTTTTCTCTCTCTCTCTCTCTCTCTTGAAGATGAATATTGTGATTGTGCATTTCTTTAGCACCTCTTGCACCACCATCGAATGTGAACGCTTTTGCGCCATCACCCTATCAGGTGCATATTAGCTGGCAGCCACCTAGTCAGTCCTCTTGGCAATGTTCAAACATCAAATATAGACTGGAATACACCAATGGTTCAACATTACCCGAGGAAATTGATGTACCCAGGTGAGACAGTTGTGATATATAATTTTGAACTCTCGAAATAAGTAATTTATTTGAAGGCTTACACAGTACTATCTGTTTATAGCCGCCAATACTATATGTTGAATTGTTGAGAAAGTAATTTGTGGTTTGATTTCCAAATTGAAGGATGTTATACAAAAAGCTCTCATTCTCATTGTTATGAATTCAGAATCTTCCCTCCTTTGTGCTTGAAAAAACGTAATCATATCAATAAGTTACGGTTAAATCAACTATGAATTGTTCTGATATCTTACTAACTTCAGCGGTATAACTGATCGAGTGCTGGATGCATCACCGAATACGCTATGGCGAATGCGGGTTCGGGTTGAAAACGAAGCTGGTGCTTCAGATTGGAGCAAGGAAGTATCCATCACAACCGCTGAAGGTAATTATAGTAACACAAGTAGTAATCAATATCACAAAAAATATTTGACGTTTAATCGTGATATTCAACACCAGATTGAAAGATAATCATAATTTCTAATAATAAATAGCTACTTGGCAGCTAATAGTAAAGCTTAAAACAAACTACCATTATCTAAAATAATCATTACAGTTTGATTATCTTATCATATTTAGATGTCATTAACAAAAATATGTTGATAAACTTGGCAAGAAGTTAGTTTTAGATTTGATTAGACTATTCTAATGTAACAAATGATTGGTAAATTATTAGCAAGGCTGTTTATTTACTTTTATTAGCTTTTAGCATTTATCTTTTCGTTTATTTATAATCATTAAGGCTTATTTGTTGCACTATCCCATAAGCATCATTGTAGGTGCACCAAGCGCAGTAGAAGATCTTGATGCTCATCCATACGGACCGGAAGCTGCATCAATAATGTGGCGAGCACCAGCACAACCTAATGGACAAATTACTGGCTATACTTTGGTATATAGGCTCAAGTCTCGTGGTGAATGTGGCCCACGTTCTTCACAACCCATTACTCGAAATACCAAAGATGAAAAAATTACGGTGGAAGGACTTTTACCTGATTCCACCTACGAAGTACATGTAACAGCACATACCTCCGAACCTGGACCTCAATCAAATATTATCACTGTTACAACTGATGAAGCTTGTAAGTGGCATATTCCAGAGGTTAAAGCACATAATAGCATGTATTTTCGAGTTAAACTCAGCTATCCCGCTATATCTCGGTCCAAAATATCATTAGGACAATAGTATTTTTTGCCGTTTAACATAGTTAACAAAATTATCCTAATTGACATTAGATAAATATGCTTTCCTTGTGCAATATTAAGAATTAGTAAATTTGTTGAGTTTTAAGTCGATGAAAATTTCTGCTTTAACGATTTTGAATTTCAAGGTTTTTTTTTGTTAAAATTCTTAAAACTTTAAATTTTTCAAAGAATTTTGGAAATCTCACAATATTTGGGTCCAGTATCTCATTTGCGCGTTAATCGGTGACGAAAGTACGGATAAAGTAATTTTAAATTAGAGGTTTGGCATGTGACAATAAGTATTTTCGGCTTTCTCGGAATATTCCGAGAACAATCGATAGAGTTACAGTTATACTTCCAGTTGGAGTTAATTTTTTTTTTTCATTTTAATCAGACTGTGTAACTCATAGATCATCCTTTGCTTACTTCATTGTCTTATTTTCTTTCCTACTCTCTCTCTTGCCCTCATTATTTGTTTTTAACCTCTGTAAAAATTGCATTAACTTCATATACCAATGACAAACACACCACTTTATCAGTGTGACATTTTTCATCAAATTTTAGCTAAATTTAATTTGCAGCTCCTACCGGAGCTCCGTTGAATCCACGTGTAAGTTCGGTAACACAAACACGCAGCGAGTTTTTGTGGAATGAACCGGATTGTGAGCTCCGTAACGGCAAAATAACGGGTTACGAATGGCAACTAGAAAGTCCGGATCCATGGAGTGAAAGTAAAACTGGTCAAAGTACCACACAGCGAATATCCTTCGATGATTTGATACCATATACTCAGTATAGGGTGCGAGTTTTAGCGGAGAATTCAGCTGGACAAGGACCATGGTCAGAATGGGTCTCATTTAGGACGCAACCTGCCGGTAGGTTGGTATTCATTTAGGTTAGGTTGTTTTCAAAGGAAAGCACCAAGTCTTCATTTAAAATAAAGCTGCACAATAAAGGTTCGAAAGGTGCAAAAAATATGAAATGTTAAGGAATGAAATACAAATAAATAAAGATTGAAGAAGATAAGAAGCACATTATACGTGTAAATTGTATACGGCTGTTTGCTTTAGCACCACCAGCACCAACAGATTTAACCGAGGAACAACCATTCCCTCATGCCATCGAGATTTCATTCCTGCCACCATCACCGCCTCATGGTATTATCAATGAATATCGAGTGAGACATACGCCATCTGGTCAGGTGAGTAATTTTATTATTTAGATGATAAGTTAAGCCTTGCATCTTCCAAATGTTTAATTTCAAGTTTAAACTGTGTAAATTTCGCTATTATCACTTGTTACTTTATATTGACATGATTGGGGTTTCCAACTTGATTTAGGTTCGTTTCGAGCAAATATGAAGAAGGAACTTAATATATCACTTCATAAATATAAAAGTAGTTATTGCAATGAAATAACACATAAATGGAATGATTGGAATTGTTTGAAATTTAAAGTATATTTTTTTTACAGATGAATTATAAAGAAGTTCGTGTAGTTGCAAGTCGATTGCAATGTTCCGATGTATCGAAACGTGATCGATTATGTTATCGAGTTGTGGATTTGGAACCAGAACAAGAGTATGAAATTCAGGTATCAGCTCATACCGAAGGTGGTGCTTGGAGTGATTGGAGTGAATCGTTAAGCGCTCGAACACATGAACAAAGTAAGTTAGCAACACTAAATGAATATAAGTTTTAGATAAATAAAATGGATGTAAAAGTGGCAAAATAAAAGTGAAGTAAAGCAAAGCATAGATATTCTTTAGATATACCAGTATTAGAACGTGAATTGGAATTAGTAGACAGCAAACCGAACAGTATAACACTACGATGGCAAGGCTTGGATGCTGATCAGGTAATTTAAGTTTCTTTGACTTGTTATGTCCAGTTAGCTTAGTTTATGGATGCTTCGCACTCTTAAAGTACTCTAGTTCTAGTTGTTGATGATAAAAATCACTCTAGTTGTTCGCACTCTAGTTGTTGATGATCAAAATTTACTGCCATTACAATAGGCCATATTTTTTTTTTACATATATATTTTCTTCAATCTGAACTAAAATTAAAATATATGTTTTAGTCAAAACATGTTGTCGGTTACATTCTGGAATATAAATCGGAAGATGATGAATGGCAAGAATATGATGGTATCACGAAACATCGCAGTCGTCAGAATGATTATCGTACCCAAGTTAAAGATTTGGAACCTTCGACGGAGTATTTCTTCCGGTTGAAAGTTGTTGGTAAAAATGACAAGCGTGGTTCTTCAGGACCCGAATTAAAAGCTATAACAAAGTGTGGACGTCAGTACTGCTCTTTTGTTCTTAGCTTATTTATCACTTTTTTTTAAATTTTCGTTCCACTTCAGTTCGATTCCTGTGGATATTCCAAATTTTCGCATTTCAGGACCAGAAGAACCACCAACCGATCTGCAGTTGACATCTGATTTCGAAAATGTCAAACTCACTTGGACGAATCCGGATAAAGAGTCTTGGGCATGTGATAATGTCGAATATGTGATTGATTTCGTCAATACCACTTCACGCGGTATAATGACGGTACCATCGGATGCACCGCCTAAACTCTTGTTACCATCGCTTCCGGGTACCAAATGGGAGATTCGCATGCGCACGCAGACTATTGAGGAAGGTCAGAAACCGTCATACAGTTCATGGAGTGATCGTGCAACTTTGGTAACTCAGGCTCTTCCCGGCGAACTGTTTCTGACGGTTGAACCAAAGACACCTACTTCGGCAATGGTTATTTGGGATCTAGCTGATCAGGATCGGAAATGGAACTACGGTGTAGATATTACTTACCGATTGAAGCAATTAGGTGGTTGCACAGAATCATCAAGCGGTAGTCATGAACCAGTGACAAACTACAATGTGCAGGATAAGCAAATTTTACTTCATGATTTGACACCTGGTTCAGAGTATGAAGTGGTGGTTACTCCTCGTCGTCCCCCAAGATTACGGTCTTCCATCACAACGCCAAAAACAGTACGCCGCTTCAGGACTAAGGCTGCTTTACCGTCTGGTCCGCCACGTAATCTGCGTATTGAGGGACGTCGTGATACTGAAATTTTCTTCAAATGGGAGGCACCGGTATGCAAGGAACAGAATGGTAAAATAACACAATACGAATATGAGGTGACAGGTGCCCAAGAATGGAATGATGTGAAACGTGAAGGTGTAACACCACGTACCAATGCTGGAGTGGATCAACTGAATCCTGGATCCACATATAATGTACGCGTGCGTGCATATACCAGTGAAGGACCTGGACCATGGTCAGAACCAATTCAGATCACCACTACCGGTACCGAGTTGGGACCACCTCGAGAGCTTACTGCAGTCCATACAAAGCCCAAAATAATTCAATTAACTTGGCTCCCGCCGTATCCAGAACGAGCACCAGTGGTCGTCTATAAAGTTCGGTATAGTCCACGTGCCGATGATTCTAACCCGGTTGAGATGGAGCTTTCCGGCGATCAGCTGAGCTGCACTGGATACAAAAGCCCTTTGATAACCAGTGATAGCATATGTGCAACAGTGAAGTCACTGCAACCGGATACAACTTACCGCTTCGCTGTTCAGGTTTGTAAATTACATGCTTTTCCTGCAAAATTTCAGTCCTCTCAAGAACAAATTTCATTCTGTTATCAGAAACTTCTCGGTTGAAGTTTTAATTTCATAACAAAGCTTTTTAAAGTTTTGAAAATTCAAATGTTTTAATATGATTCAAAATAAATCCAAACGTGGTCCAAAATTTTAAGTGGACTTAGTAATCTGTTATAAACTTTCAGGCCCAGTCGTCTACTGGTAATTGGGGTGAATGGTCACCAGCTTATTTTGCAACCACACGTTCTACTGAGGATGGACCAATACCTGGGAAGTTACGATTGGTGTCTGCAGGACATGATAATCTTCGTGTGAACTGGACCGCACCACCAGCTGTCAAAAATGTTGTGGATCAATATTTGGTACACTTTATTTCATGAAATTTTAAAAACACTAACTTTTTACAGTTTGATTTTTGATCTTAAAATGCGTTTTTCTTTTTTTTAAGTATAAGTTGATTTCATGAATTTCAGGTTAACATATCATTAGCCAGCTCTCTCGATAAACATCCGAAACAGTTTACGGTACGTGGTGAACAAAATAGTTATCATTTCCGTGGCTTAGAACCAGCAACACATTATAATATCACGATACAGGGCTTATCAGAAGGCAAACGAATGTGGTTTATAACGGAAGTTTTTTCAACCACTGATTATGGTATTATTAATTGCTGATTTCACAGTATTTTCGTAATCTGCATCAGTTACTTCCAGTTCCTGTCTATGTTTTCCGAAAGTAATTTTAAATCTGCTGCAAAAAAAAATCTTGGAATTTTGACCGTTTTTGGTACCATAAATCTCAATTAATCATGTTTCAGGAACTGGTTTGCTTTCATGGTTACCACCACCAACAGATTTAAAATTGCTGGAAAAATCAGATCGATTCATGCATGTAGCATGGAGTCCACCGGAAATCTTTGATCCAACCTATAAGGATTTAATCACTCATTACCTGGTAGATTCTTGAATCACAATTTAATAATAAATTTGTTTTGCATCTTTTCTTGGTCAAACCGACTAATAATTTTATTTCTTTGCTCAATTTAGGAATATATTCCTTTGTGTTTCGCATATACATTCAGATTTGCACAGTTAAATTTAATGGAAATTTCAGGTGACAATAGCACCATTTGATTCATACATCGGTAGAACTGGTCCACCACGTAATTACTCGGTACCATATCCGGGAACATCAATCAAATTTGATAATTTATCACCGGAAACAATTTACAATATTACGGTACAGGCTGGCACTGATAGTGGTTATGGCGAAATATTGTGGGGTACTTATAGTACTCTTGCATCGAGACAGAATCACGTGTTACGGTTACTGGATCGTACACCGACATCACTAACTGTTGAATGGGAACCAACATTTCTTGGTAACAGAGGATATAGCGTATGTCTTTTAACTTTCATTTTTTTTACATGCTGGTCTGTAAGCATATGAATCCTTTATCGTGTAATTTTAATTAGTCTTAATTAACAAAATATACCTTAAGTTTTTCAGCTTTCATGGGAAAGTTTACATTCTGTTTTCAAACATGTTCCCATCAATGCAATTCGTTCAACCGATATACCTGCTGGTACCACTCAGTACACTATTGAAGATCTAGAACCTTCAACGATCTATAATGTCACCTTGCAAACACGACCGGATGGTAAAGTAGCCTCTGGTGCTTATGCTACTTTACCACCAGGATGGTTCATGGTGCGTAATTTGGTATGGTGTGATCGAACTAACCACGCTTTATCATTGACTTGGGAACCAGTGAATCTGAACAAAGCAACACATTACCAAGTGCGATACATGAGACTTAAAGAACACGATGTTATCTGGACGGAAGAAAATGAAGCAAAAGCTATAGAACTACTTTGTCCTAAAGATGGCTGTAATCGACATTGCTATCTGATCTTTAATCTTATTCACAATCCAAGTGAATACGTTTTTCAAGTACGAGCTAAGGTAAGTTAGTCTTATCATTTTCATATCACTTATGTTTATAGTGCTGTTTCATTGTATCAATGATTAGCCCTTCTTGATATTGCCGTAGTACGGCAATATCTATTAATACCTACTAGTGTTTTAACAACTACCGATAGCCTTAATAAAAGACAGTAATTAATTGATCAAATCAATTAGTGGTATGGAATTTAGAAATTGAACTATTCAGGTGAATAATCAATGGAACCGATGGCGGACAGCTGGCAAACCAAGTGTTATCGAGAAATCAGAACGGAAAAAAGGATGTTGCATCGTACCTCCACCATACATGGTTGAAAATATCGGTTTAGCTGGAACATTTTGGGAAGTGGACATTTCACCGGTTGAATCACAACCACAGAATATCTCGTCAGTTTTATATGCACTTCATCATCAATGCTTTTTGCTTGGTTCCAGAATAGTGATTACTTCGTGGTCATATGTTGTTGTCTTGGTAGTCGTAACAATCTCCACTCGAACCTTTTTTTTAAATATATACCGGTATTTTGCTAAAAAAAAATACCTTTACGAAGAAATATATAATAAATCTCAAAATTTCTTTTCTTTTATAAGTTATAGACTTTGGTAATAAAGTATATCAATAAAGATTTATTCAGGCGTTATTATGTCGTCGTTGATGAACGTGAACCAGCTGGTAGTACTAATTGGACTGAACTAACCGATAAAGTTACCGCGAACAAAATGAAGATCCCTTACTATGTAGCAGCATCTTTCAACGCTGATACACTACCTGGACCACGAAAAGTTCGTATTGGTGATGGATCAGTGATTGGTGGTTACCTGAACTACCCATTGGTAAAGGGTAAAAAGTATAATTATGAAATTTATTCGGTCTGGGAGCTAAATGGTAAACCAGCTGCTGTAGCACGTCAACGAGGTAAGCTAATTTGAATATATTTATGTTATACATGTAATTTCATACTTTTATATCGGCTAATTAACTATCTAACTAAGTTATATTCCTTGAATATTTCCTGTAGTATCACTTTTCATAAGAGAATTTATTTCTGGATGAATGGTTCTACCATTTACTCTGCGGAATATTTAAAATTATTTCGGATTCTTCGTAGTATAATGTGTAGCTGTTGCCGATGTCTTTCTCATGATTCTTGTACTACATACTGTGAACTTGTTGGAAGAATTGAATGAATCGATGAAGAAACATTCGACGATATATAAGATGGATGAAAAATCTACCGTATCACCATTTCCTGTTTCCGTTTTTATTCATTTTCTCAAAAAAAAAAAAAAATAAAATAAAATAAAAGTTGGATTCAGGAATTCAATATTCAAACACGAAGGTCATTAAAATACTTATTTTTGACGAATTAAACAATTTACTCTCGAAAAATTAAAGTTTTGCTGGTTAAAATTGCGAAAGAAGAGATGATAAAAGAAAGAGAGGGAGAGAGAGAGAGAGAGAGAAGGGCAAGAAGAGCATGAGATGATAGGAGGAGGGGAAGGGCTTATTTCTAAAATATATTTCAGGGATTTTACTGATATAAGAATTAAAAAAGTTTCACAAGTTTGGTTAGTTTCCATATCAAAAGGCTATCAAAAATATCCTCAAAATTATTTTTAAAGAATGATTTCTTATTTTGAACACTCATTTCCCTTTCTTTTTTCTTTTTCTCTCTTTTAAATCTTTTTAAAATTTTGTAAAATATTTTACCATTGCAAAGAAAAGAATATAATTCTGAAATAAAAAATTTTGAAAACGAAAAAGTTACATTTAAAGTTTTAGAAATAATATACAAGTAACTTCATTTATGTCAATCATTAGAATGACCCGGTTGTAAAGATACATGATAGTTGGTTGAACATATTGTTTGGATCTTCTAGAAGATTTTACTGATAGCCTGAAAGTTGAATCATTTCATTTACTCGTTTTCTTTTTTCCTAGCTATTAAATAGTTCAAGCTTTTTACTATAGCTGGATTAGCAACAGTCTTGAATTAGGTAAAGCATGCAAATATTCTAATAGATGTTATTCTTGTAATTATCATGTTGAGATAAGATTACATGTGATTTGATAAATAAGGTACAGATACAGATCAAAATGTTCAACAAATGAAAGATTGAATGATTTCCAATTATAAGGAATGCAAACACTTTTCTCTTTGTAAATGCCGCAATGATTTTATGATTAATAATGTTATTAGTATTAGAGGAAGTGGGAAAAGGGATTTAAAATGGTGACTGTCAATTTAAATAATAATAATAATTGTGGGAAATTTGGTAGTATTTAGTTCACAATTAACTCCAAAATGAAATATTTTATTGAAAAATTTCGAAACGACTTAGTACGACCTGTCACCACCTATTTCATCCAGCTGTTGCATAATCTGGCTTGATGTCGGAAAGGATTGATTATTGTCTGGTAGCAGCAATTAACTTAATTTATCCTTTATTAAACTTCATGCATGCGAATAAATTTGTTGATTTATTATTTTTCTTTTTTAATTTAAAATAACTGTTAATGGAGATAGTGCTATTTGTTTAAATTGGTACTTTGTAGATAGATAAAAAGTTATAGAGCAATGGAGGAGCTAAAGGAAAGATAGGATAGATAAATTGAAATTAAAACTTACTACTTTTAAAATCATTTGCGCAAAGTATTATTACAATCCTAAGTATTGATTACAATCAAAGGTATAATTTATTGGGGTGAATTAATTCTATAGAAATAAGCTAATGCTATCATATCATCACGAGAAGAAAGAAGAATTGATTGATCATTTTACAACAATACAACGATTTGGAAATAGGTGGAATTAATGATAGGAAAAAAAGAATGTGAAATAAAGTCTTATATATATCAAAAAGAAAAAATCAATATTAGCAATTTAATTAATTAAAGAAAAATTTCTTGTTCTGTAGAGTGTCAAAACCGTCCAAATAATTTCATACGTTGTACTTAGATAAATTAAATTCTACCAGTTTTTCATTTGCTATCTTGCAAAGTAATCGAGTAATTCTTTCATCCTATGAGAAATATCTGTTAAGCATTAGTTAGTTACTTCTATTAAAAACTTTATAAACTATGTGTTTTATATGAAATTATCATATGATTTAATAACGTTTAACCCTTGAACTTAGTATGATAATATGAAAAATGTTGTATTGATCATGAAAAATTAGTGGAGATATAGATGATAATCATGTTTTCACGTATCCATATCCGTTTAGTAATGCATCCCTCTCCCTCTCTCTCTCTCTATACATATATCATATCCGCATTCCACTACTTCAATTTCTTCTCCGCTAGAAAACTTGTTACCTGTGTGCAATATTATTGTACTTATATTTAGTGAAATTGCGTAAGATTTTTAAGAGGAATGCGAAAATTCTCTATTATCATAGTTAACACTAAAAAAAAGAAAAAGAAACACTATAGGTAAAATGTAAACTGTGGAAATGAACCAAAGTAAATAAATCTCGAGAATATCGAGGACTGTCAATTTCTTTTTCTCAATAAATAAAATATATTATATCCATTGTATCAATAATTGATTGCTCAGTATCAATGTGAGATGATAAATTTAGTGATTGTTTTGATAAGATGACTTTAGAAGTGTGACGAGATGAAATAGATTGTAGAAAAAAAAGACAAAACAAAAAACAAACATTACAAAAAGAAAAAGTTCACTTTAGTATTGCTAACTTTTTTTTTCTCTTTTGCGTCAATTAGAAAAAAAAATCAACTTAAAGAGAAACAGACAAAGAGCGCTTGCTATTGCACATAAATATGAACCTTTTTGCGCCAATCAAAAAATAAATCAACTTAAAGAGAAACAGACAGATAGCACTATTGCACACAAATGTAAACCTTTTTGTGCTAATCAAAAAAATAAACCAACTTAAAGAGTAGCAGAGAGATAGTGCTACTGCACACAAAAGAAAAAAGTAGTTTTTGTTTTATATATCACTGTTACTTCATGCTATGATATTGTATTTATTGTAGTTTTTCTTTTTGTTGGAATCTCTAATTTTTTTTTTTTTTTACGGCAATTACATTAGAATAGTTAAATTAAAGTTCTTCCCATTTCATCCTCTCCTCTCCCCTCTTCTACAATACCTCCAATCATGTTTGATCGGTGAAAAAGCAGCTATTATGGATGGATAGATAATTGCTGATACATAGAGGTTGGTGACAGGAGTGACAACAAAGAATTGTTGTGTGCAATATTATCCATCTGAACAAAATTGGTTGCTCGATGAATTGAAGATACTAATTTTGAACTGAACTCGTTTTTCTACTTCTCTACCTATTTCACCATTGCATTCCAACAACGATGGGTGTATGGCCTAATGGTATGCCTTCTTTTTTTTTTTTTTGTAAATATAATTGCAATTAATAGCATTTTATTAAAACATTTGTAGGCTGTTTAAATGATCAATCCAAATTTTTTTTTTTCAAATTGATGATTCAACAGCATTTTAGAAATTGTCATTTTTAATTATGATTCATCCTAGATTGCTTCTTTTTCTTTCTTTTTTTTTTGTGAGCGAAATTTGTTACTCTTGAAGTCTGCAACATTTTTAATGGAAAAGTTTTCGTTATCATTTTTTTTTCTTTAAATGAAATAAATGATAGAGAGATGGAAAAAAAGGAAGAGGAAGAGAGGGAAAACGATGTTCTTATTTCAATTGGAAAAGTAAGTCTAAGTCATATGAATAATGGAAGTGATATGAGTTTTGTTTATCGAGATAATCGGCGAATTCAAACGACCAGTTTATCAGTATGAGAGACAAAACTTTAAGGCTATTAAAAATTCCAACAAAAGAACCCGTGATTTCTCGAGTCAAATATTTACGTATTATTTTCTCAATTATCATTAGATTTGAACGTTTTTCTTACTACTCAGCTATTCTTCAATTAATTGAATCCTTTCATCATTCAAACTGTCCTAATGAACTTAACGTTTAAAGTTTATTTGTTTGTCAATGATTTTCTTGCTTAATTAGCCAAACATAAAAGTATGAAGTCGTTTTCTGAATAAGTTACTTCAGTTACTTCAATACTTCAGTAAAGTACTTAAGGCAAAGTATTTCCTGCTTTTGCTAAACGTTTGATTTTCAACTAATTTATAATGAAAACTATTCTCCGGAATAGTCTTTCCGAAACCTGTTCGATTTTTTGCTTCCTACTTCATTTTCGGAATCTTCAAATCTGTTATGCCTGAAATGAAGTTACCTTCCCCATATCATCGCAATTTACAGTACTGCTTTCGAATACGATAGTCTAATTCAGGTTACTGTATCACTATAATGAACTGACGTATTTTGCACAATCATTATTTTGGAATTACCTACTCTTAAATAAAAGTTTTGGGGTGTTTTATAATGAATTTCACTAGAATCTATCGTTGACCTTTATTCGATTCCTAAAAATTGATTTATGATTTTAGTTTTGATGAAATCAATCGTGAACTTCTCTCGGTCTTAACTACAACCAGTTACTTCTTTCGAAATTAATTTACAGCAAATTTTGTGTCGGATTTAAATTTACAGATTTTCCAGTTTTGATAATTTTCCTAGATACTAAATTTTCCTTTTTTGCAAGAAATTTTAAAAGATTAAATTTCAGCAAGTCCGTACACGATTTCCGGATGGCCATGGTGGTGGCTATTACTTTTGCTTCTCCTGTTGCTCCTGCTAATTCTGCTCACATGTTGTCTGCTTTGGTGTTTGCAAGGGTAATAATTTTCTTTTTTTTTCCTAATCTTTATGAACAAAAGAAAGTTTCCATTCTTTTTTCTTTTAAATTTTTTTGACTTTATAATTTACTTTCCAAATTTATTAAATTTCGGGAAATCGCATTATCATAATTCGAAAAACTCAGCATTTTTTTTTTTTTTTTGGCTTAGTAATGGAAATTTTTAAATGCAGCTTATAAATTAGCTCATTTATGATGCATCTTTGAAAATTGATGCTTAAATATCAATATAAATCGTTTTTTTTTTTTTGTTCCTTATAGATGCTTTTCGAGTTTTTTTTTTTTTTTTGCAAGAGATTAAAAGATAAAATTTCAGCAAATTCGTATATGATTCTTGAATCTTCAGAATTCTCTCTCAAAATCCAAACTCTCAAAAACTCTTCTCTTAATTCTCTCTCAAAAAAGATAATGCTTATTGATTTTTCTTTTATCTTTTAATTTCAGTATTTCTAACAGAATTTTTCCCTTTTCATTTTACTCATTTTGTATTTGAATGAAAAAAAAAGGGTAATTGTCTTTGTCACATCATTTGTTCCAACTAATTGTTGCATCATCACCTACTGTTGTCAGCATCGTGTAATCTCAAATTTTCAAAATTTTCAACAAGAAAAATGCGACAAATTTTAATGTCGCTTCCAATTTTGACCTTCAAATTATAGTTTTCCTTTTGATAGCACTTTTGTAAAATGACAGAAAAACGAATTAAAAAATTGGCATATATCAGTCGTACATTGAGAGAAGGACACTTTGCACCTTCAATTGCTATTTTCACGGCATATTCATATATGGAAGTAAAATTAAAAAAAGAAAAAAAAAAAACTTGATGTCAAATGCATCTGTTCGATCATTTTGCAAGAAATGGTGAAGATAGTTATTGCAGGGATAAAATGTTTCGTTAAAATCTTTCTCTCTAAATTGACCAAATTCTTTAAAATTTGTTCAATTCCCTGAAAAGATTTTCTCTTCTAATTTCTATTTATTTTGAAACGATTCATTACTAAATTGCGTTTTGTTCACAGAAAAAGAAATACCTTTGATACGTGGAAAACGAAAAGAAATGGACGAAATTTCGGCGTAGATATTTCGAATTTTTAAATTGAAATTTTCAATTTAAATTTAAATTAATTTGGAATCTAAAAACTTAAATCAAGAGATCGAAGAAACCATTTTAATTTGAACACAAAAATGCATTCATTATTTGTTTGTACTAATTTCTGCGTGAATTATTGCTATGCATAATTTAAACTATCAATAATTATTAGTAATGCAGTACTGTGTTGCTTATCGATCTGATATAATATTCTTTCTGTCACTTCTTGTCATTTATTTTATCTTCAAATATCAAATTTTACTTTTTACTTGAAAAATGAAAAAAAAAGGAAGGTTAAATTATAGGCGTTATCGAACACGAAAAGAGCGGCGGCGTGTTATTGCATCAAATGGTCAAACAGTACCACTACTTTCCACTGATGTTAGTCTTTTTTTCAATAATAAATTTAAAGTCAATGTTTGTAATATTTTAAATGATTTGGAATATCAATACTACTAAGTAAATGGTAGTGGTGATGATTGAATTTGATGAAAGAACTATTTGAAAGATTTTCAATCTAATACACTTATGCTTAATCTGATAATATTAGTGAAGTAAAATGTTTTGTTAAGAGTTCAATTTATAACTGCTCAATGATAATTGTGAAACAAAGGTAATATTTTAAGTCTGATCTGTTTTTATTTTACTGATATTATCAAACTAAGCATAATTTTGCTAGCTTCAAGATGAATTTTATTACTTTTTAAGATATACACTTTTGAGAAGCATCTTTTGTTAGCACTGATTCTTAGATTCTGATTCAGTAGTTGGATAAATCTTATTTAATTTTGAATAACTGTTGCAAAAATTTTAAAAGAATAATGGAAAAAAGATGGAATATTTCAAGATGGAGAAAAATGGAATAGAACAGAATATGCAAGCACTTTCATCACGTGTTGATGATATCCGATCATCACTTGATCAAAAAGCTACAGGTATCAACGTTAGAAATTACAAAAATTAATTTCTGATTCATCTTTGCAAATATGATACTGGACTGTTAAGCTCGTGGAGATTTCGAAGATGGATATGTACGTGGTTTTCGAGATGCAAATAAATTGGGAACCGCATCAGCTGCACGTCGACGAATGGATGATGATTACGGTAGCAGAGATGATCGATTCCATGAAGGTTATGTGAAAGGATTAAGGTATATAAATTAATTTTTAGTAAAATGATAAAATTGTATAGGAATATGAAAATTGAATTTGCTGTGCATTCTCGGAAATGCTTTGAACTTTATCGAACAAAATAAAAAGTATTCTTTTTATAAGAAGAGAATTTTGATACAACAAAATACATTAAAAATGATTGTGATATTCAGTAATAGGTAGAAATTCAACATTATGCACAATATACAAGTAATTTTTTAATATAATTTTGCTATTTAATCAATACAAACTTCAACAAATGTAATATTTGAAATGTTGATCGATTGTTTTAGAATTATCAAAGAATCCTACTTTAAAATTTTCACTGGAATTCATTATAGAGATGCTGGAATGACAGGAATGAGTGCATCAATGCGTAATTTAGCACAACGTGGTCAAGGTGCTGGTTATTCTTCTGGTTATATGCAAGGTTTTCGTGATGGCAACTCAGGTTTCTTTGGTGACCGAATATCTAATAGTTTGTTACGAAGGCTAGAAGAACAGTATCCAAATCAAGAAGAATTCCGTACCGGTTATATTGATGGATTCAAGGAAGGTATTGGAAGTCGAACTTCCGGACAAAGAGTAGGAGTTGAAATATTTCTCAATTTGATATAATTTAATAATTTCATTGCAAATTCCATACTTCTGTTTACTTTACTATTATGGATCAAATATTTTACGCACTCATACTTATCTTTTGTTTGGAAAAACATTTGTGCAAGTACTATACAATTTCAAAATGCAGAATTTTTTTTCAGAGCTTTGAAGAATCACGACGTTTGCAAGAAAGTCTTACTAAACTTACTGAAATATTGCAAGATAAATCGAAAAGTGGTGGTGATGAAACACATACTACCAAGATTTATCATGTTTGTAAGTTTTTTTATTGTTATTCCTTTATCTAATTTATACAGCAGTAAGTAATGTAAGCAGTTTTTCCATTTTTTTTTTTTCTGTTAATAATAAATACAGAGCTGTGAAAATGATTTTAATAAATTTCGAAAATCTCCTTATTCTTAAATTTAATACCATATTTTCCTTCCTTTTCTTTTCAGATAATCAACATCCAGACGGTCTTGCTGTATCAGCTTATTCTTCTACAACCGGTCGTCAACTGGAGCAAGAACTGGAAGATCTTACATCATCTTCTAGAAGATCCACTCTTAGGCGGCATTATACGGTCTTTTTTAATTTGCTTTATAAATAATTATTTCCTGTGCATATAATAAAATGTTTGGTTTAAGAAATTTTAGAAGGAATAGCATATTATTTTTGGATTTTCAAAAGATTTCAGAGTAAAAATTTTGATTTTTTTTAAAATTTTAGCCAGGCGATTACATGAAATATGGTAGTGAAGCGGAAGCATATGGTAGTTTGGCAAGGAATCGACGATCACTTTCTGCATCTGCACTTGGTCGAGAGCTTGCTAGAGGTTTGTAATATTTTAGTAACATGACACAATGATTCTAAAATTTCTTATTATATTTCTTATTGTTATAAAATTTTTTACTGCAAAATGCTTCATCATTCTACTTCTGGTTGGTAGGATTTGTAGGGGAATCATAAATTGGAAATTTCAATCATTAATTAATTTAAGTCAGTATTTTGATATGAGATTTATCATCAGCTATAACAATCAAAGGTTGAGTGATCAAATGGCTACTTGATGCTTTGTTATACTACATCTAAGCACGTGTGGCCTTCCTCTTTTTTTTAATTTAATTTTATTAGCTATTAATCAATGATATAAAAATTAAACGATAAAATGGCTATCTTATATGAAGTGTGATTATGCAAGCAGGCTAGAAACATTGCAACAAAATGCCAGAATAATGGTGGAATTCTTGCATCGATGATATTATGCTTTCAGTCTTGTCATAGTCATTTTGGCGCTTTTTGCCGCACATAAATCCACCCATACTTATTTTTGTTGAAATTTCAGGTCGTTCTGACAAATAGAAATAATTTCTGACCAATTTATTTTAAAGCTTGCTTCCAGATTCTTATTTTTGAGTTCTTATAATTTAATAACTTCTTTGAATATGATTTCAGTTTTTTCTTTTTTGCTGTGTGCTATACTTACATTTGATATTTTTTGTTTGCTACTTGTTTGCAGAACATTCAGAACGTGCTCGTCTATATTCTGGTACCGGAACATCGTATATTAGTCGTGCTTCTGCTGCTGAAAGACCTATTACGGATACATATTCACGTCGTTATACATATCGTAGTCGTAGTGATATGGGTAGTCCACGCCATTATGCATCCCAAACATTACTAGATGGAACTCGTCCAGGACCTTCAACACCTCACATACGTCGTGATGCACTACACACTTTACAACGTGAACTTGATACACTATCACGCTCACCGGATCAGCTAACAGCGCGTGGCTATAGCTCTGATACTGGGTACATGAACGATACAATGCGATCACGTACCCGCGCATACTCAAATTATGACTATGGTTAGCATCCACTCTACCATACTTAAACTTCTTTAACGTGACACAAATTAGCCGAAGTTTTGCACCTTGCGTCACAGCTAAAGCACCACACGTCACCGTACGTATTAACCGAAAGCTTCTCATCATAGGAGAGGTAAGGTATTACTTATTCGAACATGTCATAGCTATTTGTGATCACTATGTGACATTTGGCATCAATGGCTTTCAATGAACTGTGAGTTTTTTTTTCTCCCGATTTCTTCCTTAAACTTTCATTCAATAGTGATATAGCAAACAGGTAATTTAATTAACCCTCGCGAAAAAAATGGAAGATTTTTGTTGTGCACTAGCACAGTTTTGTCAATTATCACTTAAGTTGCTATAAATGCTATTACCAATGACAGGATTTTCAAAGCAAAAAATTTCTTGTCTGATATCTCATGCTACGAAAGTTTTTTTCTATAAAGAAGTGTTTTGGGAAAAGAGAAATGAATGGAATGTTAAATTCCGGAAGAAAATTGATTTATAGAAATTTATGCAAAGTAATCTAAAAAATTAGATAAAACTTGTGCTTTTTGCCAGTAACAAAGTTTATTGCTGTTAGTTTTACGTATGCTAAGCAATAAAGTTACTTTAACTTGCTATTTAGATGACTGGTTGAGCATGCCAAGCAACAAAGTTACTTTAACTTACCACTTAGGTGATTAGTTGAGCATAGCAAGCAATAAAGTTACTTTAACTTGCCACTTAGACGACATTATTTTAAGGTTATATTTAATTTGCAGATACATATCGAAGTGAAATGAGAAGTGCTGAAACATCTGGTGGTGTTATTGGTGCAAGTGGTGCTTCAGCAAGTGCTGGATATGGTCCAAGAGCTACAGCTTCTACCTCATTCAGTGCTCGTAGAGAAGGTATCTTTCCAATTGCACTCTACTATAATGCTTGTCCTTTAATTGATGATTAAATATAGTTGATATTTAAAATTTTATTTTTAATAGATTCTATAAGCTAATGGACAGGATCGGAGTTGCAAAGGTCAGTAGTATTACATATTCATAAATAGTGCAGTGATGATAAATGCGCCTCATGCTTTCCATTCATTGTTATTTATATTTGGTTTTTTTTTTCTCTCTTGAAGTGTTTGAATTATTTTAAAAGATTTAATATTGCTTTACATTGCACATTTTATTAGCAAACAGGTCACGTTTGCAGTTTGCACAATGCCAATTTTGCTAATTTAACAGTTTTCGATGTTACGAAATGATATCGAGAATTGTTTTGAGTGTGAATGATGTAATTAGCAGATAGCTAAGCTTAATTTCAATTTTAATATAAAGTATAAGAGAAGTGCATTTTACTTACAGCGATTTAAGCTCTAACAATCGTCTTGTTTGCAAGAGCTGCTGGAAGAATGAGAAATGGATACTTTGCAAATTCGAAGCATTTTAAAATCAATTATAATCAATGTATTCAATTTGTCATTAAAAAACTAAGGCACCAACAAGATTGCAGTGTAAGCACGCAAAAAAAGAGAAAAGTTGCGCTTATAAATTTGCAGAAAATGAAAGAGGAACTAGTAATGGAAGGACAACAGCTGGTAATTTCTCATCGCATAATTGGCCCGATGATTTGATTGATATTGTCAACGAACCGATGGGACAGACATTGGATCGAATGAAAAAATATAGTAGCTCGTTGTCACATGTTGACCGAGGTACGCACCTCTTCATCTGAGAGTTATGATTTGATTATAAAAAGGAACTTGAAGGAAGGGAGATCAAGTATAAAGTTTACCAAATTTTCGATGTGAAATTCAAGACGAGGGGATTTTTTCTGATATCTTTTGCTTACACTCTTCTCTTCATTGTTTTGAAATATATTTTGAATCATTCCTTATCACAGAATTTGATATCTACCAAAATTTCACTAGGAATTTCATTTGATATTGTCAAAAAATCGATGGGACAGATGGAACTGGCTTTTCTCTTCTGATATTTCTTGCTTTAATGTGCGCTTAAATTTGCACTGTTTGAAATGAATCTAATGCTTATGTTGCAAACTACTGAAAACTTTGTTTGTTTTATGCGATGTTTAATTAATTGAAATTGAAAACTTCCTGTTTTGCATAAAACGCACAATGTTTTTTTGAAATAAGCTTTGAAGAATTATTTTGCTATGCCATAAAGCGACAATGCTTCTTGCTTTTCATAGTGGTTTTTCTTTTTACATTTTTATTTTAATATAAATTCCATATGAATCCCATTCTTTTTTTTTTTATTTGGATCTGCGTCTCAAGACTTGATTCATCCATTGGATGAGAACTAGGCTTCTAGGCTAATACTGCCATTTTTCCCCTACATTACCTTGGTAGTATGATAGCTAACAAATTTATCTTTTTAACGATATTTTCTTTTTCATAATATTGCATCTCTATCAAAATAAGAATATTTCCAGATAAAAATAAAAAACTAATTAATTTCAAAATTTAGACAAATAATTTTTAACGATTATAGATGGAGCAGAAGAAAGCGGTCCAATTCGAGAAAGAGTGGAAGAACGATATCAGCGCTCATACAAGGAAGTATGTTTGATGCTTCTTTTTTTTTAAATTCTTTCATTTTTCTATATTGTATAATTTGGACAGAAAAACAGAAAAAAGAGAACTTAGAATGAACAGGATAAGAATAACTTAAAAAGTTGAATAACTCAACTTAACGTTTATTTTTTCGGATCTGAAACGATCGCCATTTCTGATACATTTTATTTTATAAATCATTAAAGTGAAGTAAGAATCACTGAATCGGATGGTTACTTATATTTGGATATTGTTATACTTCCCTCATTCCGGACTGTTTGCCGATGTTAATGGTTGTCCGTTTCGATGATTTGCTCAGTGCTTACCGGGCGCTGTTTTATTGGCACATCTCAAACTTTCGGCATTATATTCTGTCATATTTTACATTATCTACCCATTTTACATTATTGAAAGTCCATGAATTTGTTTTAATTTCAGGAATATACAACAGGAAGACGATAAAGTGATAAAATGATAAGCTGATGTATGGATTCATCTTCTAAACAAATAAACAAAAAAGAAGAAGCCAGAATAGTCGTTGTTATTAGTCTAGCATTTCTTTTTTTTCCTAAGAAAATGCTTATTTTCAATGATATGAATTTGATATAGCGTGCTAATGGTGCTCGGTGATAATGACATTTCCGCTTCACTTCTTCTTGTTCCTTCTGATAACCTATTTTTTCTTCACTTTCTTTTTTCTTCTGCATTTCTCGAAATGTCATTGCATTCCTATATATAGAATCGACCTTCTTGACCTTTTTTTACAAACAAATAATTTCTTAAGTCACCATATATTCTTCGATTTGACAATCTTTTTTTTGTCAATTTAAAACTGATTCTTTAGTATTATTAATAACAAGGCGATTTATTCTTACATTTGTATGTTACATTTTTTTTCTTTTTGAATGCTTAATCTAATAATGTTAATTAACATCATTAATAATCAAACAGTTGTTTATATCCTTAATGTGGAACTAATTAAAATTACTATTGCCAGTTTACTCTTTACTATTTCAATAGTCAGCTTACTATTTACTGTTCCAACACGCTCATATAATAAATCACTGTCAATTATTATTCTATTGAAATTTCAATTTGCTCACATTTTTCTTTCATTTAATTTAATTTTGATTTTAATTTTTTGACTTAAATGAGTTTAAAACTTTTTATGAATATATATATATATATATATATTTTTGTTATTTTTACAAACTGTCGCATTTTTGAAAAAAATCACGCATAATCGTTTTCCTTATCAGTATATCAATTACATGATAATAAGTATGTTAATAACATATTATTATGCTTACTTATTGATAATTAATCATATGTGCTCTTTTTACTCCGAATTCTGTTGCTGCTACTGCCAATTCGTCGTTAAATCAATTTTTGAATCTCTGAAGCAAAGAAAAAAAAAGGAAGTTGGAAATTTTGTCGATTCATTAATTTTACTCATTAATTAAATGCCATATTTCAAATCATAATTGTATGAATGAAATAATTTTAAGAATAAATTAAATATCGCTTCAGAGTCTATGTTCTGTGTTCCCTAAGAATTTTTGAGCTTTCAATAATTCATTAAGGGAAATAAATAATTGGTTAGTAGGTAAGCTAACTTGCTTTTTTTTTTCTTCAATTTATTTAAATTTATGTACCTTTTGAATAAAATAATACGGTTGTTTGTTTATCAAGGAAAATGTCACCATTGGTTAATTAGTTTGAGAACACAACAAGAATGTAAATTGCAAGGAATACATCAATATCATTTTGGCTAACCTGAAAATGAAATAGCTTACACTGACCGGATTATGCATTTTTGCTGAAATAATTTAAAAAAGTTTAAAGGAATTAACCAATTGGGGGGAAAAAAATTAAAATTGAACTGGATATCAACTATGATATGCAAATTATCATTCTCCAAAGATTTTAATTTTAATATGCAAATTATCAATTCTCCAAGGTGAAATCTTTGACGTATTCCCTATCATCTGATATCATCTGATAGGCTGAATTTCAAAAACTGTAATTTAGCAACATACTGAAGAAGACTATTCATTGTAGCCTCAAGTTAACATTTAATTTATTCCATCAGCTGATTCATTTAGGAAAAGTGATCTTTGTGACATTATCAAATCTCCACAACGACATTCAATTGTGAAGGACAGGAATAAATCTTAACATCTATGTCCAATATAATCACAATGTTAATTAATTTCATTAAGGTATTTGTTTAAAATTCTTTTAACTTCTTTCCAATCAAATATTATTGATAAATATTGGAAATTATTTGTTTAGGAAAGAATTTTCATCAAATATTTGTTTCAAATTTCTTTTATATTTTATACAATTTGAGTAATTTAATTATAATTAAATGTAAAAAAGAAAAAAAAAGAAACTAGCAAGATTTTGCTATATATATTGACGAGAAATTAACACTTACAGGTAATACTTACTTTACTAATTTTCATTGTATGATTGTAAACTTATTGATTTCCTTCGAAACATTTCACTTAATTCTTCCCGGTAATTTCGAGAGATCGGAATGAATTGTAAATTGTTTAATCAAGATTAAAGCTTATTTGCAAAAACAATGAAATTTTTGCAATCTTCTTGAATAAATCCATTCATTTATTCTTTTAATATATGTATTATTGATTTTTTTCATGATCTAACTAGCGTTCAATTAAAAAAAAAAAAAAAAAATGATAATTTTTAATTAAGATAATTTGAATATATTAAAATAAAATGATAATTTTTAATTAAGATAATTTGAATATATTAAAATAGATTATTTAATCAATGGCATTTATTATAT